CTTCTTTTCTTTTCTTCTTTAATATCCTTAAGCGTTTATGCCTTTAGATTATTAGCCTTAAGGGTATAGTAAATTTGTTTAGTAATAGTTAGTAACTTTACTATTAATACCTATACGCCCCTATATATTAAGTAGTCTTTAAATTTAATAATAGTTTTATAAGTAGTACCTTTAAAGGTATTAAGTAACTATTCTTTAAAGTCTTTAGTAGTATATCTTTATAGCTATTAACTATATAACTATATAAAGCTATATTATATTATTTAAAGTATAATAATAGTACTTAAGGCGTTATATTACTTAACTTAGGTAAGGCTATTAGGAATATTAGCTAAATTAGTTATACCTTATAGTTATATAATAATAAAAGGCTAGCTACGCTTTAAGATAAGATATAGATCTTTAATATCTTATAAATAAATATACTTTTTTACTTTAGCTAGCGCTTATAGTTTACTTTACTTTTTACCTAGTCTTTCCTCTGCTATTATTACCCTCTATTAGCCTTACTAACCTCTTAAATATAGGCACTTACTTCTTGCCTATAAGGTTAAAAGTAAATCTATATATTAAAGGAATTACTACTATTAGTATAAATAATAATAAGATAAGTAAATAAATAATATAATATAAGGAGGTATAAGTAAAATAAGGTAAATAAAAAGATAAAATAATAAATAAATAGATAGTAGTAAATAGCTTTAGGGAGGCCTTATGCTTTAGTAATATAAAGAGATAGCTCTAGGGAGGCCTTACGCTTTAGTAATATAAAGAGATAGCTTTAAGGAGGCCTTACGCTAGATCTTACTTAAAGAATAAGAGGAGACGTATACTATCTCTAAAAAGAGATATATATAGACTTTACTTTTTAGTAAGTAAGATACTATAGTTAAAGATTTTTAAAAAAAGAAAAGTAAGGAGTTAAGGTAATATACCTTACTTAAAAGTAAATAATAAGTAGTCTTTTTAGATTAATTAAGATAGTAAAGTTAAGTAAAAGTTATATTAGTTACTAATAACTATACTTTACTTAAAAAAAAAAAAAGTAAAAAGGATAGTGTAGTTATTAATAGGTATTTAAAAAATAAAAAAAAAGTAAGTAAATTAAGGTAATATAGGTAACCTCTACCTTTTTTACCTTACTTAAAGAATAAAAAAAAGCATACTTACTAAAGGTAACGCTTAGCTACTAATTATTTAGTTAAAAGAGAGAGTTATAATTACTATAAGCTACGCCTAGCTAATAACATAATATTAAAAGTATATAAAAGTAAGATTAGTAGAAGCTATTTACTTATAAATACTATATTAAAAGTAAATTACTTAAGTAGTTCTTACTTAACTACTTTATAGCTAGTCTTACTAGTAAAATCTTATTTAGATAAGAACTTATAAGAGTCTATTTACTTATAATCTTATATAGGCTATTACTACTATAGTAAAATAAAAACTTAGTAAAATAAAAATCTTAATAATTAGAGTAAAAAAAGGTTAAAAAATAAAAAGAAAAAGAACTTAAAGAAACTTAGGTATAAAAAGAAGATAATTATACTAAATACTATAAAGGTTATTAGTAAGTAAGTAGTATATAAAAAAAAGATTTCTTTAAAAGTAATAAAGTTAATAGTAGTAATAGTAGTTATTATATAGCAGACGTAAGGCTTAAAAGGTATTTACTAGGTATTATAAGATCTTAGGTACTAATAATCTTTAGGCTAGGTAGCACTTTAATACTTTAATTTAAGCTACTATAGTAAGTAAA